GGAGTGTGGGCGGGGCCCGAATCTCCTAGACAGCGGAGTGTGGGCGGGACCCGAATCTCCATGAGAGTGGGCGGGGGCCCGTATCTCTTGGTTGCATGTTATGTGTATGGTATGTGGTAGTTTTGGGAGACTCACTAAGCTTCGTGCTTACAGTTTTCAGTTTTGGTTTCAGGTACTTCCGGTAGCAAGGGAAAGGGCTCGGGATGATTGCAGTGCACACACCATTTGTTCAGTCTGAGATGTTTACACTCTGATATGTTGATATACATTTGATATGATGTTTGAGATATTGTAACATGTGTTTTGGATAACTAAGGTTTTATTAAAAATTAAAAACGAAATTTTTGATCTGTATTTTTGGGATGTTTCAGAATGACAATTCGATCTCAAAATTCGTTGCTTCAACAACACGTGGAGTGTTGTTTTTCTGCAAATAAAAACATTAGCTTTAACTACATATAAATTTTGAGATTTTTTACTATATATAACTTTATAATGAATGTATAACTATACCAGTGACATGTCTAATATACGTAAACATTGTTCGACATTTAATTGTGTTTTTATTCTCCGTGCCTTCATTCTTGGAAATTCATTTGCAGTGTGATGAACATACCTCAAAGTTTCTGGAAATGTCTCCAAAATGCATACCTAATATAACTTTAACATGTTATAATTTATCAATGATTATAAACACTTTAAAATTAGAGGTGACAATGGGTCGACCTGGGTTGGGTTCGGGTTCAACCCATTTAATAATTGGGTTGAAAATTTCAACCCAACCCAACCTGTTTATTTAAATGGGTTGATATTTACAACCCAACCCAACCTTTTACATAAATGAGTTGTCAGTAGGTTGACCTGTTTATGTAGTTCCCGACCCAAGCTATTAAATAAATAGGTTAAACTTGGGTTAACCCATTTAAAATCAATTAAATAAATTATATAATTAAATATTATACCACTTAAATTATAAACATAAATAAAAATTCATAATTATTATAAAAGCACAATCCAGATTCATAAATACAAATAAATTGTTCAAATAACATTAAAAATGTTTAGTTTCACAGTGATTTTGGAGAGTGACCAGTATTATCGGCGTTAAAAAAAGGATGAAAATTAGGATTGAAATTTATTAAACACAGATAATAATAATGCAACATTATAATTTACAAATTAATACTTTAATTAATACATGATAATATTCAAATAATATTAAATTAAATATGTATATTAAAATTAAATGAGTTGACGGGTTGAAAACGGGTTGATAATTTTTACCAAACCCAACCTATTTAATTAAATGGGTTAGACGAGTTGACCCATTTAAGTTAAATGGGTTGAAAATCTCAACCCAACCCGCTAATTTTAGGTTGGGTTCGGGTTCGGGTTGGGTTGGCGGGTTTGGTCGATTTTTGTCAGCTTTATTTAAAATGTGTAATATTAATTGCACCTAAAACTAACCTTAAACGGAAAGTGAAAACCGGTCACCGTATACTTCAACGTCTTCACAGAACCCACATTGGTTTGATCTCGTAAATATTTGTAGATTATCCCAAACCAAAGTCTAACTATACATCCATAAAAACGCACCCCACGCAACGTGTTGTACTCATTATAATTAATATAAATCATATCGTAGTTATAAATAAATAGTACATTTACTACATGTTCCAATTATATAGATTATCGGCGAGCTCATACACTACCGACAGAATGCACGTATTTGTATCACGTCATATGAGACCTTTCAACAAAAAGCAATTATTCAAAAGCATAACCGCATCATCATCGCCATCAGTCAAGAATGTTGGCCCTTTTATGTAGTCTTCTATATTTTTCAGCCGTAAATCTTCATCTCTCACATTTGGGAACAATCGATTCCGTAATGCAGATTTTGTGTTGTGATTTGTATTAATTACATCAACATAAGGTCCAAATCTTAAACCGCTAATCAAACAAAATTCGGTTTCACCATATTTGTAACGACGTAAATTTTAAAACAATTTTTCATTTTTCGAACACAATAAAACTCATATAATATTCTCAAAATCTCATATGTATCAAATGTCATCACAATAAAATATATCCAAGAATCTAAAAAACATAATCCTCTGCCAGTGTGTACAAATCATGTCGGCGCCTTCCCGCGATCCTCGGTAGTACCTGAAACACATATCACATAACACGGTAAGCATAAATGCTTAGTGAGTTCCCCAAAATACCACATTCAGCACATAAGCCACTCGAGGCTATAACTCGGTAAGACCCTCTGGTCCATGTGTCTCAGCGGGACCCTCCAGTCCCGTAGCTCGTTGGACCCTCCGGTCCGGTCTAGCTCGTTGGACCCTCTGGTCCGGTCTAAATCGTTGGACCCTCCGGTCCGGTCTGGTTAGCACATAGCATACATAAATCACAATGCACTCAAGTAAACACATAACACATAAGACCCTCCGGTCTGCACATAGATACCGCTCTAGGTAATGTATAGTGAGAAGACTCACCTCGTAAGATGTCTAGTAAACTCTCGTGCTCGATATCCTCGATCTAGCCTCCGCTTAGCACAATGATAATAATTCTAATCAATACTCTCTTTACATTCTCATCTCTAGAGAATGGGTAGAATACCATTCTACCCCTCCCTGCCCCTCTTAATCAGTTTGACCAAACCCTAAAGTCAAATGAAGTCAACTCCAGTCAACGGTCCAATTTGACCAGACTCGCCGAGTACACTCGTGTGACTCGGCGAGTTCATGCGTATCTTCTGAATCCTTCTAAGGCCTCACTCAGCTCGTCGAGTTAACCTCCCAACTCGACGAGTTACCACTGGTTACGAATCGCGGGGCAAGCCGATCCGACTCGTCGAGTCCTCTCATGGACTCGGCGAGCTTCCTCCATGGCAATACTCATTTGACCTTCTGAGGTCAGATCTGTTTCTCTAACTTATAGATATGGCCTTCTAGCACCCAAAAGTCACGTAAAGGTTCAACCTTTATGTCCATGCACCACACATCAAGCTCTATTTGACAAAATAACCCTTATAATGATAACTTAGGCTCAAAACTCTTATGGGACGACATAAAGCTGGATGATTGGGACTCTCTGGACCTCTCAAGGCCCAAATCTGATGCCTATGCCTCAAAGGGCCTTCACATACTCCATAACTCAACTAAAAAGGGGAAAAAGAACCCTAGATTCATGAGATCTACCATTCATACAGAAATGGGCAGGGATTCATACCTTAAGCAGCAACTTTGAATGAAATGGCAGAAGATTTGAGCCCCTCAAGTCAGCCTAGCTTGAATCCCCTCCTTCTTCCTTGCAAGAAATCTCTAAGGTGAAGAAATTAGCTCCCCCGCTCTCTCTATGCTCTCTGGTTCGAATGGTGTCTCTCAAGGGTATGTGTGGCCGCAAATGAAGGCCATAAGGACCTTTAAATAGGTCTCAGACCCAAAGATTTAGGGTTTCAACTCACAGCGCCTACTCGACGAGTCTACATCCGGACTCGTCGAGTAGATCATTAAACCCACGCGGCCATCCCGACTCTACTCGACGAGTTATAACGCCAACTCGTCGAGTAGGTCAATGATCCTAAAAAATAAATACTTAAAATGACATACCTGGGAATCCGGATGTTACCATATTCCACCACCCTGCCTTGTAACTCGAACCGAAACCTCACAGCCCTAGCTACCAGCACATCACGGACCTCATGCAACATCATCAAATTACAGAGCATCAGGTCACCATTCGGGGTGGGCATACCGATGAAGATCTCAAACGGTGTCTCTCAAAATAATTCAAGTCGCATACTATTTAGTTTTGGAATGAACTTCCTCAAAATAGTCCCCACCACCACTTTAAAAGTTAATTATGAGGCCATCCACACATACTATGTTGCAAAAGATAACACATATATGGAAAAATTAAAAAAATAAGACTGAAATGCCTTTCTTCCTAAGGATAACACATATTTTCTTATAAATTTTATAACTATTTCACATTTTAATGGAGTATGTAACTAAAAAAAAGTAATAATACTGAATTCAGCATATAAAATCAAAATAATAAAAAAAAAATTAAGAATTTCGCAGAGATGAAGTCGATCCGCAGAAGGCTCCTCTGCGGATTTGTTCTTCAGCATACAGCTCCGCAAATATGTTTTTCGGAGGAAAAAAGACTTTCATGACAAAAATCGGGCAAAAAATCAGGATTTACTAATCAATTAAACTATCATACACCCTAACAAACTATCATACACGCTAACAAACATATAATTAATTCAAAAATCGGGCAATTACAGTTTCATACAATTTCAAAATGAGGAAAAAAAAACTTACATGTGTTCCATAGCCATCGGATAACACATCCTAGTGTAGTTGTTCCACAATTCGCGATCGACGCACCATCAAAATGATTGATTCAGCGTGTTCGATTCACCTCCTTCTTCTTTCCGCAGCAAGCTTCCGCAGTTAGGGTATTAGGAATGAGTTTGTTTTGGCAATTTTCCGATTTTACCCCTTATTCGAACGATCATCTGTGAATATTAGCGATACGTAGAGGGTTAAATGGATTCACATAGTCACTTCTGCGGAACCATGATACCTACCATATTTTTTGTCTTTTAGTGATGCCACATCATTTCCTCGTTACCATTCATATTTCCGCAGATGATTAAAGGGATCCGCAGAGGCCCCTCTGCGGATCTCGTGGTCATTTTCCAAAACTCACATTTTCATGGTTAAATGCTTAAAACACCCTCAATTTTGGTTATTTAATGAATTTTCTCTATTTGTGAACGCCTAGTTAACACTAAAAAAAAACTTAAACTTAAAGGCAGGATAAGAAAAAATAAAACTACATACAACCCAAAGAATAAATTTTATAAGCTGCTCTAAAAATAATTACAAAAGTCAAAGGGGGTAAGTGAAAATTCCCAAAGGTAAACATAAAACATCTATCCTTCAAAGACGAAATTTAAAACGCAAGGGGAAAAAATAAAACATATTACTCTCACAAAAATTTAGGGTTTTGCGTGGATTAAAGCAGTAGGGTTTGCGTTCATCTGCTGCGCAGCCTTAAATCTTCCCCCTTCGTTCTCTTCATTCGCTCGGCACTCACTATCCAACAATGGCGGTTGGGTAATATCGCATCTCCTTGCATTTTCTTTATGTACGCATTCAACGATGGCTCATATGTTAATGCTTTTGCTCAAATTTTAATATTTTGCAGAAAGAACAAGCGTATTTCCAAGGGGAAGAAGGGTGGCAAGAAGAAAGCGTTAGTTTATTTTTCTTTTCTACTTTCTAATGACCATCTTTCCATTGTTTTCGTAAATAATTTCAGGATTCTAATATTTTAAATATGCATATTCAACAGGGCCGATCCTTTCTCAAAGAAGGATTGGTATGATATCAAAGCGCCATCGGTGTTCAACACTAGAAGTGTTGGCAAAACCCTTGTCTCACGTACCCAGGGTACAAAGGTATTTTTTTTTGTTATTATCCCCTTTTCTTACTTCACATTTGATTTTTGTTATCATTCAAAGTTACTGGTAAATTGATATCATTAAGTTCAAGTTTGATATTAAAAACTTGATTCACATGAAATCAGATCGTTTTTTGCTGCATTATCAGATTAGTTTGATTGGTGTTTATTTGCTTGAGAAGTTATTTTTGGCTAGAGTTTTTTGGCCGAAATCACGATTGTTGTGTACTCTAAGATTTCGATGATTTATGTATAATATCTTAATTCTGCTATATGGGTTTAGGTATTAAGAACTGAAAGTAATATTCTTTTTTTATCAGATTGCTTCAGATGGTCTGAAACACCGTGTCTTTGATATATCTTTGGCTGATCTCCAAAACGATGAGGATCATGCCCACAGAAAGATCCGTTTGAGAGCTGAAGATGTTCAAGGAAAGAATGTTTTGACCAACTTCTGGGTACACAATACAACACATGAATATCTATTTCCATCTTCTAACTATATACAATCCAATCATTCATATTCATTTTGTAACTTTACATTTCTTTTTAGGGCATGGATTTCACAACAGACAAATTGAGATCACTTGTGAAAAAATGGCAATCTTTGATTGAAGCCCATGTGGATGTGAAAACCACTGACAGCTACACTTTAAGGATGTTCTGCATTGGCTTCACCAAGAAACGTGCTAACCAAGTGAAAAGGACATGCTATGCACAATCTAGTCAGATTAAACAGGTGAAAATCTATCCTTTTGTCACTATGACCATTTTTTTATATGATGAATGACACTTTCTCTATTGGGTTGTGTTAGATTCGTCGCAAAATGAGGGAGATAATGGTAAATCAGGCACAATCTTGTGACCTAAAAGAGCTTGTGCAAAAATTCATTCCTGAGTCAATTGGAAGAGAGATTGAGAAGGCTACGTCCAGCATCTACCCTTTACAGAATGTCTTCATTCGCAAAGTCAAGATCTTGAAAGCACCAAAGTTTGATCTTGGAAAATTGATGGAGGTATGCTGTTTTTTTTCTTCAGTCTCATGCTTTGCATTTACATTATTAATTAGTTTACAAGTTTATTTATAAAATTGCAACTATTCTTTTATGTGTAGGTTCATGATGATTATGCAGAAGATGTAGGTGTTAAAGTGGAAAGGCCTGCAGAGGAGGCAGAGCCAGAAGCAACTGAAGTAATTGGTGCTTGAATGAGAGTTATATAGTTTCTTGGTTGTTCCCTTTTATGTTTGCTTTAAGTCACAGACATGAAATCTTGGTTTTGTTTTTGATTATTGATGAGTTTTTGCTTTAGATTGATGTTGAATTTTTGTAGTAATGTCTTTGGAAGAGGATTTATGTTTCTTTTAAAGCCGTTTCAACTTCTTGATTTATGCATATTTTGAAAAATATAATCCAATCAGCCAGATTCAAAGTAATTTGTACTTTCGATCTTTGGGTATATTCAAGTATTTAAGCTCTTATTTTATAGAACGTTTAATCATTTTATAAAAGTTTTGGCAGATACAAGATGTTCTTTTGAATGAACGATGTTCTTTTGAATGAACGGGTTCGGCCTGAGCTGAGTGAATACAAAATGATTTTCGTTTATAAAGTATGGATTTAAACAATGTTTTGTACGATGATCAACTTCCTTCTTGAAAATCATGTATCCTAAAATTTCTAATTTCTTCAATTATGCATAAAATCCCTTTATTGATTTTTGATAAATGATGTTTTAGGATATATGATTTCGATGAGAGAACTATATTTTCATACAAAACTACATAGTTATTAGGTTTAGTATCTAAGATTATATAGATTTAACAAAAGTGTATTCATTTTTTCCATAATACAAATACATATAATTTTGGAAAATTGTTATTTGTTTATTTAGGACAATTCGGTTTTGATTTTACGGTCAAAACCAATTTGAAATTCAAAACTTGAATTTGGTTTTGGTTAAAACTCATGTTAAAATCACGATCTATAATTTTATGATAATATCATTTAAAAATAAAATCATAAATCGTGTGTATGATCGTAACAATATATTAATATATTAAGGCTAGAGGAAGTGATACCATAAGAACCGTACTTCCTCCCATGCCACGTAGATGTTATGTCAATTTTACCATACTTTGGTGTGGTATTTGCCACACACTAGATGTGGTGTACCAAAAAAGAAGGAAGAAGAAAAGAGGAGAAGAGAGAGATAGGTGGTTGAAGAAGAAAGAGAAAGAGAAGAGAAAGTGCGGTTGTTTTCTACCATGTGCGGTCAAAACCGCAGTCATGGGGCAATGTTCCTCCTTGAAACCGTGACAAAGGTGCGGTAAAAATGTACCCACTCCCCATAGTCTAATAATTATAAAAAATCATCAATAAAATTTAATTTAGCTTTTATCTTTTTTATTAAGATTTTATTTAATCTAACAAAACATTTTAGAATTATTGACAACCAATCTATTTGATATTTAGATTTTATTTTTCCATTGACTTTTGTTAATTGAATATTTAGACCGCGTGTATCTTATATTAAGAAATGAGATTGAGGTAATATTTCTCATCTTAGATTGTATATGATTTTTTTTTTTTTTTTTTTTTGGTAAAGAAACTTTCCAAACGAGGGTTTTCAAGCCAACTTTCATGCATCTGACTAATTCCTGCTGCAAACATGAATATATACCTCATGCTGTGAAGTCACTGCATGCGAACCTCCATGACCATAAGAGCTGAGTAGTGTCAGATTTTGAACACGAGTCAATAAGTTATCTAACATATCTTCCACATGTCTTACCAAATAACCACAACCTAAGTGGTTTCTTAGATTGTATAGTTAGATCAATTGTAAGTTAGAATTCACAATTTGAACTTGAACTTCAAATTTTAAAGGATCATAGGTTTAGTTTCCAACATTTAGGAATAAAAACATGCAATACAAGATCTAATATCATAATCTATATCAATCCATTTACAAATATAACAAAATATAACATCGAGTTATAAGTTTAGAACCAAAAATTATAAATCTAGCTATACAATACAAGATGACAAATGATACATTAAATACTATTATTCCCTAATATAAAATACATTCGGTCTAAATATTCAATTAAAAATAATTAATGAAAAATTAAAATCTAATTATCAAATAGATTGGCTTTTATAACGATATATTCATCAATCTAAAATATTTCGTTAGATTAAATAAAACCTTAATAAAAAAGATAAAAGCTAAATATAATCTTTTTGTATTATTAATGACAAAAAATTAGTCATTGTCTTAGGATCTTTTGATCATTATACGATATTACGATCTATGATCTTAGAAAATAAAACAATCATATCTAAGATATTAATAATTACAACTTTAACTTTAGACATAAACCGTCAAAAGTATGAGGGGTGTTTGGGATTTGTTTAACTAAAACAATTTTTTTTTCTAATTGATTATTAGTTTATCCGGGTTAAAATTACAATTGAAAAAAATTTTAGAAGTTTTCTTAAACGTAAATAAAACATAATAATTTTATAAAATAATTTTTTAGAGTTTAGTAAATTTTGATTATACTTATGCTATGTTTGGCATACTAGCTGAAACACTAGCTGTTAGTTGAAAATCTAGCTGATAGCTGAAAAGCTAGCTGTAAAATAAAAAACTAGCTGATAAAAAATTACGTTTGGTAAAACTAGTTGAAAAAGCTAGCTGAAAGATTAAACAATGAGTTCTTCCTTGGTTTGGAGTTTCTTAATATTATAATTAAGATGTTTTTTTTTGTATGGTTTTTGGTAAATGTTGTCTAGCTTTTTAATTATAATATTAAGAACTTATTGTTTAAGGGAATGTGTTTTTATAATTAATTAAGGGGTATATTTAGAAAATTTTAAAAAAACTCCTAAAAAACTAGTCTAAGTAGCTTTTTAAAAAGTTAGCTTATAAGCTACTATAATTGTCCATGCATTAAATTTTCAGTTGATTAATCAAAACACTATGTGAAAAAATAACAGCCTTTGTTTAAGTAAAACAATTTATGTTTTTTTTTTAAAATGATTATTAGTTAATCCGGGGTTAAAAATACAACTGGAAAAAATGTTAGGAGTTTGCTTATTTGTTACTAAAACATAATAATTTTATAAAATATTTTTTTATAGTTTAGTAAATTTTGCTTATACTTATAATGCGAAAATAACTTAGCAAAATTTCTTTATTTAAGTCAATCCAAAGAAGAAAGTAATTTATCGAAAACTCATTATTTAAATCAATAAGTGTTTTTAATATTCTCCTATATAAACATTTAAAATGTTAACTACCGTGTCAAGTGACCCGTATAATCTATTCTTAATAAAAGAGTACTTTGCATGACACATGTCCCTCTTATGCACATCCTCCTTGCCACGTGTCTTAACCAGGAATCTCTTATGCAAAATTTCCCGCCCATACTTTACAGCAAATATAGATACAATCACCTCCTAAAATTCAGCTCATTTACCTGCATATAAAATCAGAAAAAATTAAATATCGATACATCAGCTCCTAAAATTCAGCTCAATTACCTGTATATAAAAACAGGTATTAAAAGATATTAATCCTATAATTTTGGTAAATTTATGGTCAATCCTACATTTATGGTTATTTGTTTTACAGCATATATTTTGAAATTCAAAAAATAACAATCGATATTATCCTATCCTGTAATCCTGTAAATCAGGAATCAAATTAACCCAATTCTTTGCAGAAAAAAAAAAGAGAAAACGAAATTGTAGTCAAAGATTTTAATTTGAAACAATTACCCACTAATCAGATCCAAAAAAATCAGGAATAAAATCGGCAAAATAAAATACTTTTCTGCAATTAATAAAATTTTTGTGCTTCATTACTCTCTGCATATTTATATTAACCCATCGATGCCCATAATCTTCTACTGCTTTGCCCTCAAGTTTGAGTTTCTTAACTGCTCTGCTCTACCGATTTTTGCAAAAGGTTAGTAAAACACTCATTTCTATTATTTTTTCCTTTTAACATCAACCTGCACATCTATTTCTGTAATTTCAATCTTTCTTTTTCTCTTTTTTTTTTTTCTGTCTTTGTGTTTAGAATGTAATTCGTTTATTTGCCTTTGTTTCTTGAACATATGTTTACATCAATTAATTGACTATAATTCTTGCTATATTTGCACGCAATGAAGGTACGATTTTAAAAGTTGTTATTTTTTATTATATGTTTGCACAATATGTTTCAATAATTTGATTTTACATTTCATTCAATCCCTTCACTGCTTTCACTGTTTCACATGTCAATTGCTATCTACTCTAATGCTACACGAAAACCATGATAACTATGCATTTTATGAGTGGATAAACGAATTGGTTGTTCTTTGATAATTAGTTCAACTTGTTTTACATTTGTTTTTCCATCCGTTTCATTTTATGTATGTTGATTTTTCTGTGCAGAGTAATGGCACAGCCAAATGTTACTTTGATTTCGACAACAAATTATATAACAAAATTATATATAATTTTTGTCTTTTTTTATAAACTGTTTAACAGAACTAAAAGAGTATGGTTATTCAGCAACAAATTGTATAACAGAACTAAAAGAGTATGGTTATAGATTTTACTTGATGTGTATATTCATTATTTTGAATTTCATTTCATTACTTTTTTTACTGCATTTTCATTTCCAGTCATTTTACATTAGGTTATCAGCTTGGTTGTTCTTTGATAATTAATTCAAGTTATTTTACATTGCTTTTTCGATCCGTGTCATTTTATATATGTTGATTTTTCTGTGCAGAGAAATGGCACAGCCAAATGTTACTTTGATTTCGGATTTGGATATACTTAAAGATGATTCGACTATCAAAGTTAAAGTGGTAAACCTATGGAACCTTTTTTCATTCTATAACAAGGATGAACTTTTCTCGATTGAATTAATCTTAATAGATGAACAAGTATTTTACAACTTAACACTATATATTCATTACACATTCAAAATTTAATATGATTTGATGATAATTTTATATATCATACTTCTTTTAGGGTACCAAGATCCAAGCAAATGTATTAAGAAAAAACATCTATCGATTCAAAAACATTCTAAAAGATGGCTTGACATTTTACATACAATGTCCAAGCTTTGCATCTCAAAGGATGGGTGGTTTTACTTTAACTCGGCAACATCATAAACTTACTTTTGTCCGTAACACTGTTCTTACGGAGTGTCATGACTTTTCTGGACCTGCATTTGGTTTTGAATTTGTTGATTACCAGTCTATTATCTCATTGACCCATCCTGAAAACACCGCTATCGGTTAGTTGCAATTTGTTATAGATTAATTATTGTCAATTTTATGGTTTGAATAGTATATCATATTTT